GACTAGATGACCCACAGAGGTCCCTTCCAACCCCGACCATTCTGTGATTTTTTGAAGTATACAAATTTTTACTTAAAAAAAATGGATTTTCCTCCCACCCTCTTAAGTAGTAAATGTAATTTTTGCTGTTGGTGGGTTTTTTTGGGAGCTTGTTTTTGTTGTGTTGGGTTTTTTTTACAGTACAACAATACATATTTCTCACTCTTCTTAGATGAGATCTCTTACACCACTGTTTAATCAAGCAAAAGTTGTTTCTGCAAGTAGCTTCTATTGAGAAGCTATTAGGACTATTCTTGCCTGGCAAGGAGCACTCATTCCCTGTACTGACTTCAAACTCAAATGCATACCCAGCATGCTGTGAATGGTCTCTGGCTCTGCTCAGATGTAACAGGCACTAACAAGGGGCAACATATCAACACTTATATGCCATCATCACCTTATACCATTCATGATGGAGAAGCTCACATGTTCAAAGGAAAATGTTTCTCTTTGAACAATTCCTGTATAAGTTGGCCACAGAAGAAGAATGCTTTACAATATATAGTTTGATATGTACCTAAGGAATTATGAGAATTCTATTCTCTTACCAAAAAAATCACTTACACAATGTACATTGATGCATTTCTTCTTATAGACAAAATGATACAATCGTGTGGAGATCATGCTCCAGAAACAAGGGGACAGGGTTCCCATCTGAAGTCCAGTAAGGGCAGTTGAAATCTTTTAGCAATCTCCAGTAGGCCCTATCAAGTTTTACAGTTTTAAGACTGGAGAGGCTGCAGAGCAAGGCAGTGTGGGAGTCTATGTGAACTTTCTCATAAACCGGAGTTTTGCATAGGCAATGATAAGGAAGATAACAGTCATGCAGAAGAGAGCCACTATGTTTTCCCACATTGCCCAGTTGGTAGGTGTGATTCCTTGGCTGCACAGGTATGCTTCACCAAAACACCTGCAGAAAAGCATGGGACAGAAGTTGGTATTACTATATGGTGCAAGTCTTCAGGTAATTACTTTTATTCCTGCTCCTCAAAGCCTACCTATCACTAAAAAAAGCTCAAGGGACAAATCTAGATCTCCGTTTCTCATCATTTTTCAGCAGTATCCTAATTGTTGTTTATAGATAGCTGGCAATTTATGAGTAAACCTCAGAACCACATTAAACTGTGATAATTACAAAAGCATTAGTTTCACACAGCAATCATAGGAGGTCCATAGCCGGGGTTTGGGGTCCAAAACCTCTGGAAACAGTGCTCTAGCACTCTTCCCTGCAACAACCTCAATTTGCCAGCCCTCTAGCATGTGTCGTGAAATACTTGCATTGTTACAACTTACAGTATCAATAGTGAAGAATATTTCAAATGGGGCAGTAGCATTGGGAGATTGATACCTTGGCTCTCTGTTGTATCTGCAGGGAGGTTAATATTTACAAAAAAGCTCTGAGGGGCAGGCATGTTTCTGGTCACAAGTCTACTGCTTCCCAACAACTTTGCAGCTGTCCACACGCTGCATTTCCATTGCTAAGTGACCCTGGGTTTGTTTAAGAAAACTGATAAGCCAGGGATAGGTTATTAAAAACAAAATTTAATTCAGTTAATCCACCTATTTTTAGGAGTAAAGTTTCATCCCTATTTCGCTCTTGGGTAATTGTTAAGTTTTACTATATAATCCTAAAATGTATTATTTTGGGACATATTATTGAGACTGGCCTGTGAGTAGTTATTCTGTGAATGATAAAAATTTGAAACGGTCAGACTTCTCTTTAAGCAAGCCACCACAATTCAGGCCCAAGAACCACCACGAGTTAGAGACTTACATTTCTCCTGAAACACTGGGGGGACAGCTGCCTGCATCTCCCACAGATGCTGTAACATTTGGCTTCTCGCCACAGAAGTAGAGGTCTCTGAATTCATTCACTTGAAGAGCCTAGAGAAAGAGGCAGACATCAGATTTTTACAGAGTTAGCAATCTGGGGTGCTAGAACTGAAACACCTCAAAGGAACTGGATTATTAGAAGACACCATCCTTGGAATCATATATTTATGCTCTTTTTCATTTTGAAGCTCACTGCCTTTGTGAGGAACTGCTCCATGTTCTACATGCAGGATGGTTCAGTGTCTGAGTCTTTGGCTTCAAAGTTATGCTGCAGTGATTTAGCCATGGGTTTCTGTCATGCCAGCTGTGAATTCCTGTTCATCCACTTTCATCTGGGTCAGTCTACTGGCCTAGAAAACCACGTGGCTGCATGCAGACACCCCGGCACCAGCACACTGAAGCAGATGGTACAGTCAGCCAAGGCAAGAAGGGAAGGGTTCCCTTGCAACTGGCAACCTGGGCTAACTGCAATCTCAGGGGACACTTCCACATTCAGCAACTCTGATAAAATATCTCAGTAATACCCAAACAGGGAGGTCTCACACATCTCCTGTCCCTGATCCTATGTTTCTCTTCCACTGCCGGTCAACAGGGTCCTGCCCACACCACCCTGCACCAGCTCCAGCATTCATTTCACTCATTTTTACTCAAGCTTTTCCTCCCAAAT